CATGTGACCGGATGGGAGTGGCTNGGAGGCCTACCCTGTGCGATCTGATGGGACGCAGGGAGGTAATTACTACTACTGCTGCTGCTGCTGCTATATTTGATAAAATTCAGATTTCTTCCCAAAGAAGTTCACCCCTCACAAAATAACTTTTACACAAAATGGTGAACACATTATCTAATGTCCAGAATTATTAAAATGTTACTATATCATTTTTATAATTATGCATTCATATTTCTAAATGCTACATTTGGTACAAAATAAAATAAAATAAAAATAAAGATGTTCACAGTCATGTAATTTTACAAGACTGCACATTTTAATCATGGGTGGGTTCTAGCCAGTGTTATGGCTGGTTCGCTCGTGTGCAAACTTCATGCACATGCGTGTGCTGGATGCATGCTGCATGAGCATGCACATTCAATGGAAATTTAAAAAGGTGATGACAGTGACCGATGAACCGGTTCGGGGGTGTGGCCAGCCTGGGTTGCTGCCAGTTCTGAGACCCAGGCAGGCATATCACTACCAGTTTGGCTGAACTGGGCCGAACCGGAAGGAACCCACCTCTGATTTTAATCTAATAATCCAGATACAACCATAGTTTGAATGTGAAAGAAAGTCAAAAATCTAAGTTTTGCTCTTATCAATTTATTCATCCATAAAACTTATTTTTCTGTGTCCTGATTTTCAGATAGGCAAAATGAGGCGACACAGCATGCATTAAAATCTCAAAAGACTTGGGGAAGTTCAAGCTTTGCAGAAATATAAAAGGACTTTTAAAATGAACTGGAATAAACAGCCAGCAGCTGCTGAAACACTTGCTTTATTGCTTCAAACTCCATAAAAATCATATTTTTCCATTTTAGAAAAAGTAAGGGAGAAGAGAGAGAGACAGAATTAAGGAATTTATTTCAAGTTCATTTAAATATCTCTAAAAACCAAAGATGAAACATACTTTAAGTTGCTCCTGGCTGCAAGATAATTACCTGCTTCCTTTTCCATTGAAGGTAAAAGTAGAGACTAGTTTGATTTAAAGTTGACTCTTAGTGACAACGTGGAACTATTCATGTAATTTTTTTGACAAATATTCTGAAGCACTGTAGTTTTTGGCTACTTTCAATAGGATGTTTTATAATCTTTAGATTCTATCCTATACCCCAGAATTAATGATAATCCTTCACATAAATAATTTGACTCTCTTAAAATTCTGGAAACTAAGCCATCTAGGTTCTGAAGCCTACTTTAAGCCTCAAATTCCAACTAGAGTTGGTTAATTAAAAAAAATTAGTATAATGAATGTAGATGGGAAAAAATCTTGTTGGCTGTTATCAGAAAAAGAACTGGAACAGGAACTGAGCAAAAAGGAAGTTTGGCCCATATAGTGTAATCTGCAGCTACCATCCTTAAGATAATTGTTTCTCTTAGGACTGGAGGAATATACTATCACTTCCACTTCCACCTTCTATATATTATGTGCAATTTATTAATCTCAAACGACTTACTTAGCATATTTTGTCTAATATGTGGTTTTATTTTAAGGAACTTTTAAATTTTGCTCACTAGCTACAGTTCTTTGCAGTATCCAAAGTAATTGCAACATGATATTTACTGAATGGTATTACAGTTCTTTGAATCAAATATATTCAGTTGCTATGATGTGTCAAAACACAGATAGTCCTTGACATATGACCACAATTGAGCCCAAAATTTATGTTACTAAGCGAGACAATTGTTAAGTGAATTTTCCCCCGGTTTACAACATTTTTGCAGTTGTTAAGTTTGTAACACGGTGAATCCCATTGGTTTTGCTTGTCAGAAGTTTGCAAAAGGTGATCACAAAATCCCAGGACACTGCAGCCATCATAAACATGAGTCAATTGCCAACTGTTTGAATTTTGATTATGTGACTCTGGAGATGCTGCAATGGCCGTAAGTGTGAAAAATAGTCATAATCACTTTTTTCAGTGATATAACTTTGGAGAGTTACTAAATGAATTGTAAATCGAGGATTACCTGTAGTGCAAACAATAGTACTCCTTGTGACACTCTATGGAACATTGGACTTTAAAGAACCAGAAAAGAAATAATAGTGATGTTTGGAACTTTGATGTTGGAAAAAACAATCCCTAAGAATTACATAGATAGCTAAGGAAAAATCCACCCACAAATGACCAGACTCAAATTATCTGACTTTGGACACATTATGCAAGAACTTAATTCTCTACCGAATGCTGAGAAAGATGGAAGAAAGAAAAGAAAAGGCTGACCAGCAGCAAGCTGGACAGACTCAGTTACAGTACTATTAGGCGCACCATGGGAAGATTTGAAAGACCAGATTAGGGAATGATCATTCAGTATTGCACAACTATAATCTGAAAAACTGGCTCACATTTTATGTTTTTTTACATATTTCTATAATATGAAATTAACTTGTACCAAGCAAGCTTGTGGGTCTATCTAGTCTAAGGGGGTCAAACTTGCATCATCACATGAAATATCATGACTTTTTTCCCCTTCATTAAACTGGACGTGGCCAGCACGTGACGCATCAGGGCCGTGGGCTGTGTGTTTGACAGCCCTGATCTAGTTGAAGTACAGCCAGAGGAACAGTAGCAGTAGCAGTACAAGGTTCCACAGAGACATAAAATCTTTGCACCAGCAGCTTTTGATCCAAATGAACTAGGAGAAACCTTTCTGGCATACTATTACAAGAAACATTTGACTTTTTACAGGCTTTCCTTCCTTGGACATGCATATATTATAGATAAATCACAAGTGCACTCGAAAATATTAGAAATGGTTTTAAGAAACATCCAGCTATAGGTCATTTATTTCTGGTCTTAGATACAGTTAGGATTAGATGCTAACATTAAGATCATTTAAGGTGTTCCTTAACACAGATTGTACCGCATGTAAATTAGATAATATTCCAACATTATGCTAAAATCATATAATGACAAAGAGTCAAAGTTAGCTAAAAGATGAAAAGACTAAATGGAGCAAATGGATGATCAGATAAAGAAACAAATTTATGAACAAAGAGCTTTTATTTCTTATAATTATTAATCATAATTGGTGGACTGGTTCTCTCAAAAGTTAGCCTAACCATTTTCATAACTATTCCAATGATAATTACACTATTGTGCAGAACTGCATTTGATCACATAATTAAGTATCATTAGCTACCATTTCCCTTCATTCTGATTCTTCTCTACTCATTCAATATATTCCAATCTTTTAGGAAAAATACATGTCTCTACATATTTTCTTCATGTAATAATACTTATTTTTAAAACAACTGACTTTATTACTCTCAAAAATATTGATTTGCTTGGGAAATACATTGAAAATATTGTTCAGTTTCAAACCTGCAAAAATTTTCATTTAATTCCGGTCTTCTCCTTTCGGTCTTAAGGTGCACATTCATCCTGTATGTCCAACGTACTATGTCTAATACAATATTTCCTGGAGTAATTTCATCTTACCTTTATCATTAAAGAACTGAACCTCATTCATTCATTCAATTATGTGTATACCTCGTCTACAATCATTTCACCTTTAGGCTCAGAGAAACTGAAAACAATATCTGGAGAATATTGTGTCTATGATGGGTTTATCTTCATCTCCCTAATCCTGGTTGAATATTTTTATCAGAGTTTTCTACAGAGAAGAATTTGTATTTGCTGGGCATTTTAATTGACTTTTCTTTGCATTTCTGAAGTATGGCTGCAAAATTATATGGCTGAGAATAACAGCATGGCATTTAACCACACTATTTTCCCCATCCAACAGATTTACCGGGTACTTCAACATTTACCAAAAAGTTTTCTTCCTAAGTAAATAAAGAAATAATCCTATTGACTTGTGGGAGAAAATGTTTTTTTAGTCTTATTGGAAAATGGCATGGGATAGTCTTAGCTAACAATTAGATTTTACGTCTATTTTCAAGCCTTCGTAGCATGTGTCAAAAATCACCTTACTCTGCCTATTTTATATACCTCATATTACTTGCTACAAACAGGCTTCAGGGAAATGGATATTATGATTGATAAACCCAAATTAGGACAAACTATATTAAGCCATAGCCATTGTTCAGTTAAAGTTTTCATGGTTCTTTACAGTTCCAAAGGGACTCAGGACAGCTAAAGTTTGGCAAACCAAATACTTGAAGATGGAGGAGAAGTGGAGAAACCTTATATGAGAGTATTCTAATTTCAATTATTTGCTAATGATTCATTTCCAGTCAATTTTCCACTCTGAACAAATCTCCAAGGAGAGAAGATCATTTCAAAACCAACCAATCTATATTTTTGGGTTAGAGTTTTTGTTCACCATTGTTAGTTTACCTGTTTATATTAAATGCAAATCTTTATTCCATTGATCTATTATTAGATGACATGACTCAGGCCATGGAAAGTAGAAGATTAAGCCTGCAAAGTCAGACTTTTCAAGCAGAGTGTAGTGATGTCCTCTGAAAGGACAGAATAAAGACAGTGCATATGCACAAAACAATCTGCATGCCCTTCGTTTAAAGCAAAAAGTCCTTCCTTTAGCAACATTATTTGGCATAGGAACACATACAGGAGGGCAATGAAAACTATTTCTCAAACACCACCTGAAAAGTAAATTGCATTCTGCTGTGAAACTACCAAATTTGCCCTAAGTTGGGAAATTTTTAGATTCTTTAATTCACATTTCTTTATTTCCCTGTCCTACTCATGGATATGGAGTGGTAGAATTTCTGAGATTTGAAAGAGAGAAAAAAAATCACCTTACTCTGCCTATTTTATATACCTCTCATATTACTTGATACAAACAGGCTTCAGGGAAATGGATATTATGATTGATAAACCCAAATTAGGACAAGCTATATTAAGCCAAGCCTAACATCTGTATTCTTCTGATGATCGCATGATCTTCTCCAACATCTGAATAGTTCATGGATAGATTTTAAAAATCAAAGTTTCAATGGATTCCACAGAAAATCTAAACAAGTAACTTACGTGAACTCGTTATCAGTTCAACTCTTGTTTTTCCTTCTCTGTTTCCTTCTACTACTTCACAAGTATAATTTCCAAGAGCAGCCTGGCTTGTCGATATATTAAGTGAAGCAATGCCGTAGGGTACCATCGAGCGGTTGAGAAAAGTTGCAGTATCGAAACTACTGTTTTTGCTAATGTTACCCGAAGCTCCATCATAAATGAAAAAATGATTTCCTTGATATTGCCATGACAGAAACATTGAATTTTTGTCATGGTCTTTCAGATTAGTTACCACACAAGGGAGGATGACATGGGGTCCATTGCAGTAGTTTATTTCAAGAAATGGGACACTCTCAAAGAACAGCTGGGCTGAACCTAAAAGAAAGAGAAATAAAAATATTAATGTTTGTGTTTTAAGAAGGAAATGTAGCTAATGCAGGAATACATGCATTTTATCTTAGCTGAAGATGAGCCAAAAGTCTTTTGCTGGAAGAGGCCATTCTCAAAGCTTGAATCTTTGCTTTATCTCAGCAAAGTTTTTTTTCCCCCCAAAGGTTTTATTTCTTTTAAAACACAAATATTTCATCATTCGTCAATCATTAAAACATCGAAGTACAAATTTTTTATATGCCCCTCCCTCCCCCCCTCCCCCCTCCTTCTTCCCCCCCGACTTCCCAGAACCCGTACACGGTAT